TATGTGTGTATAGTCAAGTTGGCACGCTTTTCCTATGAAGGAGCAAATAGTAAATATCTTTGGCTTTATGCACCATACTGCCTCAGTTGCAGCTGCTCAGCTGCCACTGTAGCCTGAAACCAGCCATACACAATGTATCAACTCATGGGTGTGGCTGTGTTCCGATAAAAAAAAACTTTATTTATAAACACAGGAAGTGGGCCAGACTTGGCCCATGGGCTCCAGTTTTCCTGCCTCTGATGTAGCTGTGGATACCTGTCAGTATTCCAGGTATGTGAGTCCATTAAATACTTAATAAAAATTCTGCATTTAATGGCTTACATTGAAGCCCCTGGTATTTGTTTCAGCTGAAGATGCAAAACCAGCCCCACAACCTCCTGAGTGTCATGTCCGCTTTTCTCTGAGGAAGAAGCAATATTTCTAGGTCCAGTGAGTGATAATTCAGCAGGTTTTCCTGATGAATCAGGCCAACATTAACTGGGCAAAATGGTACACTGTACAACTGCAGTAGGTTATGAAGCCATTTGCGAAGGAGGTACGATTTAGCAGTGTTACAATAGCAAGAAACACAAAAGCTAGACTTGCTTTGTTTTAAATCTATTCCTATTGCTTGTTGATGGGGACAAATTCATGTACACACTTGCTCTCTCAAGAGGCCGTAGCACTTGTCCATTCCAAGTGGAAAGGACTTAAAGCTGCCATGCTTTTGGTAAAATATAGTGCTTGCTTTAAGCCTTTCCCAGTTTGTCATGATTCTGCCTTTCTTCTTCTCAGAAATTTTTTCTCTTCCTATGGTTGTTTCCCATCAGCCTGTGTTACTGGAACTGTGTGACCAGTTGCATGCAGAAGGTGATGTGCTCTTTAATGGCAACAGTTTGCCCATTGTGCATATAAGTCACACAGAAAAGTGATCAGAGCAAGACCTGTGGGTAGTGTCCTTTTGGAGGTGAGTTCCTCTGGGTCGTTTGTTCTCAGCCACAGCTGGGTCAGTCAGGCAGCATCCGGAGTCATGTTGGAGTGTCACTTCCCTGGCCTGTGTAGGCATCGATGCTGTTCACCACATATAGTGCGTGGCGCCTCTCACAACAAGGAATGATCTGCCCAGATGTCAGTCATGCCACAGGTGAGGAACCCTGCCATTGAGAGGCTTGTCGCTGGTGCCTGTCCCTAAGCAGGGGGCAGCCTGCTGGCTTCAGAGGGGGCTGCAGTGAGCGGTAGGCACCAGGGACACTCGCCACTAGCACTGTGCCCTCACATGGATCTTCCAGTGAGGCACCACCAAGCCTCATTCTCTTCATTTTCAACAGCTTCCACACCTGCCATTGAGCCAGTCCTGAGTATTTCCACATCTCTCTTTGATGTTTGGTTCTTTACTCCTGCTAATGTCCCATCAGACCAAAGACGAGGTCCATTGAAAACTTCAGGGAAGCTGCACAGGCACTGAAGTCCTGCCACTCCAGCAGAGTGCAAATGGACACACTCATTGGCCTGGGAGTCCGAATGGGAGGGACAGGGACAGGGGCTGTGGCAGTGACAGGGGCTGGGCCAGCTCCAGAGGAGAAGCATTTTGCCTGGAGATGTCCATCTCCCAGGAGGACACCCCACAGCACACTTTGGCCTAAGAGGACATGCCGTGGCGTGGCAGGGCTTGTTGACACAGTGTGTAGACATCACGACAAGTGGACCTCAGAGCTGCAGAGCCCCCTAGGAGCATTTCACCCACTGTATGGTCAAGGAGACATGGAGCTTGGGGTCTCCACAAGCTCGTGGTCTTCTCTCCACAGTCAGAAGTGCCCACGACCTGCTGCCCCTGCATCTGGTTCTTCCTCACCATACTTACCCGCACACCGTAGAAAAGGCAGCAGAGAATCAGCACGTGAAGAGACCTGGCCACCCGGCCCAGGCACTCAGCCCTTCATGGTGGACCGAGGGCAGAACCCAGCACTCCTGCCTGTTCCTGACGTCTTCCCCCACCACCCTCTTGCTTGCCGTGATGAAATCAATATGGCCAGAAACCAACAAGAAGGTCCTTAAAGCAAATGGCCTGGGAAACCATTGATTCAGAGGCGCTGCATAGGTCCACCCGAAGAAATGCAGCCCGTGTCCGTTTCAGCAGAGAGGACTCCTTTCCACAGGACAGCAAGTGCTTGTGAAGGTGTCCTGTCTCCAGTGGTGCCTGCGCCTCTCCCGTGGAGAAAGGGCCCAAGTGCCAGGCAGAGCTGCTCGAGGTCCTGGCGCCCCGTGGAGCTGTACTGCTTCGTCATTTCCCTGCACTGGGGAATCGTTCTGGCAGATTGCTTTTGGCTACCGTCTTTACGCAGGCCTCAGGCCAACACCACGTGTTCTTCACTCATCTGTCCCCTTCTTCCCCTGAGCCTTCACCGAGTGTTGTCACCCGCATGCTCTAGAAACCGAGTCGTCATTGAAGAGCCTTGCCACAGAGAGGAAACTTAGGCAGGCGACGATGCGCATGCTCAGCCTTTAAACACCTAGATGCACAGGGAAGCCCAGGACACCTTCAGGCCTTGGGGTACCCATGCTTTGCACTCTTGTTTGCAGCCTGCGCTGCTGGTCAGAGCCACCAGCAGTCCCACTGGAAAGGGAATTGGCACCCACCTGGGGATTTTAAGAATTTTGGTTCCTGTGCTTGTGGGTCTCAGCGTGCAGGGTGAAAACATGAGCCCTGGAATCGCATAGCGGCAAATTCAAATTCTAGGTCAGTGTCTCATCGCATGTATGACCCTGGCGTAGGTTACCTAATTTCTCCAATATCTTGTGTATAAAATAGTAATAGCAACACCATAAAGAGTCACTCTGAACACTGGGATAATGGGCATAAAGTGCCCAGGTTTGGTTAAAGGTGGTAATGTGGTCAGAATCTGTTCTCTTTGCCTAAGTAGCGATTCTGTGGCCTGGTATTGGTGGAGGGAGGGAAGGAAGAGAGCGGGGGTCGAGTATTCTGCCATAGACTACCTTTTGTGTGCCCCCAAAATTCATACGGTGAAATGTAACCCCCAAGGTGAGGGCATTAGGATCAGGTGAGGCCTTCAGGAGGTGATTTGGTCATGAGGGTGGGGCCCTCAGGAATGGGGTCAGTGCCCCTGATAAAGGAGACCTCAGAGAGCGCCCTCACTCCTTTCACATGGAAGGACACGGGGGAAGGATGGCCGTCTGTGGGCCAGAAACAGCCTTCACCAGACAGCAGATCTGCCAACACCTTGATCTCGGACTTCTCAGCCTCCAGAACTGGGAGAAATCAGTGCTGTTCATAAGCCACCTGGTCTGTGCTGTTTTGTTACAGCGGCATGAATGCACTAAGACATTGACCAGAAGCTTCACTGCTCATCCAGGATTGCTCCGTCGGTAGGAGCCCTTTGTCAGCAGCTGTGCTGTGCTGAATGGGGTGCTCGGTAGATGTTCCCAGTGGAGTTTGTGGTGGGCCGAGGGTGGTATCCCCACCCCAACTTTGGATCACAGCCCCAGGCCTATGAGCCAAGTGGCTGGAGCCTTGTGAGATCCCAGGACCTGATCCTCAAAAGGGAAATTTAAGCAATTGGGAAGGGCTGCAGAGAGTGACTGGCAAGCTTAAAGGAATTCGTGGCAAGTTCTTGCACCCAAATTGGGCCAAGAATAGACAACAAATAAGGGCTGGTTATATTTTTCATTTCTATTATTATTGCAGTGGGCCTGCCCTGCAACTAGGCCTTTTAGGGGTACCAGGAGGATAAGAAATGGCCCTGGAAATGCAGTGTTCTGTCCCCGTCAGCTGGTGGAGACAAAAACGGTCAGGAGCCCAATTGATGGGACCATTAGCTATGAAGAGTCAAGAATTTTTAGGAGGGAAAAAATCACTGTGGCCTGTACTTTGATGGGGAAGACTCTGGGCCACATGGAGTCGGCCCAGGGAGCTGCTTGGTCCTGCTCCACAAGGGAAACCTGAATGATAAAGCTTGGAGATAAGACTGTAGTGTGACACAGGTGCAGGCAAGAATCTGCCTAACAGGACTGGGTGGTTCTGATTTGTGAGGAGTGGGTGGGGAAAGGTGGGTGGAGAGAGAAACCAAATTGAAAGGAAGAGGCAAGGCTGATGGTAAAAGGCCTTCCTTCCAAGAGCAGGAACAGAGGAATGCCAAGGAGCGCCACCTGGTTCAGGTACAAAGCTGTATGCAATGGATCCTAGTCCTTAGAGCAGTTATCACATTCCTCTGTCACATAAGTAAGCAACATGTTTAAGAAATTGTATATAATCAAGCAATGGGGAATAAACAGGGTGGAAAGAGGAGAGGTGGGCAGGAAGAAGGGGACAAAATGCCTTTCCTGGAGGAATATTCCCCTCTGGTGAGCGTTGTGTTTATTGCAAAGTGGGGTTGTGTTTTGGCAACAAAAGGCAGGCATCCCCAGGGTGATGGGTCTGCTTTGAAGGGCCCACATGCTGCCCAGCTGAGCAGGTGGTGTCTGGGAGCAGCGTGTGTACTGTGTACGGCGTGCCTCCAGGCTTTGCAGGGGGCAGGGGGTGTCCCCAGGAGCTACATGGCCCACCATCATGCAGGCTGAGCCAGCTGCGATGGAAGGGTGTCGTGGAGAGACCCCCTTGGGGGCAGAGTTTCCGGGACCCCCACAACGAGGGGCAGATGGGGAGCAAGAGGACAGCTGTGCCCAGGTGGTAATGCTGAGAGTGAGGTCGGAAGCTTGCAGGCTGGATTCTGGTTTCTGCAACAGAAATGCTCATGCAAGGCAGACTCTGTCCTCTGCTGTGCTTTTCAGGGTGCTGAGGTGGCTCATCCTTAAAGCTGTTTTGTAAAAACATCAGTCTCTGCATCTCTGCCTCTCTGCCTGCTCACTTTATCCCAAATATGAAGCTGGGCGTCCTGAGATAGCAATGTCTGGCCCCGCTAGTAAAGTGCCTTTGATGTAAGGTGCCCCCTGTGGGTGTCGCAGGCTGTGCCTTCTGCCCTGCAGTTCAGGCCTCCTGGAGACCTGGTTTCCCTGTCTCATTACAGGTTTTTCCCACTCGGCATTCACATTCGGGATTGAGAGCCACATCAGCCAGTCAAACATCAATGGGACGCTTGTGCCCCCCGCTGCCCTCATCTCCATCCTGCAGAAGGGACTGCAGTATGTGGAAGCAGAGATCAGTATCAATGAGGTATGTGCACCCTGGGATACCAGGCAGCCGCCTGGCCCCAAAACCAGCAGCCCCCACGGTAGCGTGCGCAACTCAGTAAGCAAGCCTGAACCCAACAAGACAGTCCCTTAGGGATTTGACAGTAACTTAGGGTGGCTTTTCTTTCACTTGTGGTAATGTGTTATCTGACCAAGAGGTAGCAGTCATCGATACACAAAGAGCAAGTTTTCGGTGCCACCCACACGTTTCTGTTCCATTCATGTGCACAGAGTTACCAGCTGTATCATCACAGTGTTGCAGTAGGTCCCCAAATCTGAAAACTATTCAGCAGGTATTTAGCTGCTTCACACTGCAGAGCAGACATTTGCCTTGTACAGGCACAGAAAATGCTCACCTTTCCTACCGTGAGACAGGTTGAAGTAGAATCTGTATTTTGTGTGAATCTGACAGGCAAGCCAAGAATCAAAAAGAGGATGATGATTTGTGTTCAAGAGAATTTCAAGCAATGGTTTTGTTACTGTGGTCGTGGTGGAGCTTTTGCGGGAAACGGACCAGTGATAAGCACTTTAAATTGCTCCAATTTGCTTGTATACCCTCCTTTTTAGATGGGGGCACAATGAGTACTTGGCCTAATTTTGTACCAGCTTTTAAATGGGGTGATTTGGTTTAGAGTGGCTGCTCTCCCTGCCACCTCTGTTTTGCGCTGGGTCCTCTTCTATGAGAACGCCCAGGGCTTCCCCTGATCTATGTGACCTCTCTCGGCATGGCCACACCCCATGCCAATCTTTAGCACTTCTTTCTCCCACCTTGCTGAGGGCATGCTGTTCTTCCCTGGCCTTGCCTGATGAGTCATCCTGCAAAGCTGACGTGGTCAGATGCCCATGTGTGTGTTTCGGGAGCCACCGGGTGTCCCAGGGCCACCAGCTGCTCAGACCACCCCTTTCAGGATCACACCCCCTGGGCCTGCCTCCTTAAATCCCTCCAGGTTTCTTCCATCCTGTCTTCCTTAGAACAGACCTCATCTTTACAAGCCTGTCTTATTTATAGCATTTAAGTCCACTTTTTCTTTGGTTTTCAAAAAGCTCTTTCAGAAATTACAAAGTCATACATCCTATGTTCTGTCATTTGCATTTTTCTACCATTTTCCAAAAACCCACATCTCTTGAAAACACCTGAGTTTCTGCCTCCCCTGTGCTTTTTTGTCGCCAACAATGTCACCTTCTCTTCCTTCTTCTTACAGTGGATGTGTGTGTGTGTGTGTGTGTCTGTGTGTGTGTGTGAGACAGAGCTCGGGGGTGTTTTCCTCCAGGTCCTTGAGCCTCATCTGGTCTCTTTTTCTGCAAAACAAACAAATGGGGAATAGGAGTACACCACCTCAGTGGCCCTGCCAGCTTTCAGATCATGTGAAGTTTCGGTTCCATTTCGCTGCCCCCCCTACCCCCACCCCCGGTCGTGTGTTGAGAAGCCTCTGTATCCTTCTCTTCCTCCATGATTTAAATTCCAGCGTGTCTACAGGTGAATATTTGTCACTTAGGTTACTGATCATTAAAAAGGGAGACAGGGTGCTTTTAGAGGTTAAACCAGAAAGTGTGTTCATTACTCCAGACAGTTACTACTGTTTACACCGTGGTCATCCATCCCAGGCGCGAACATGTAGAGGAGGGGGGTGACATGGCAGCATGCTGGTCAGCGCTGGCCACTCCACGACCTGAACTGAGTCATGATTGGCTGACAAAGTGACTGGCTACCTGTTTACACTTTTTGTATTTGTGCCTTATTTTCAAATATTCTATTGTAACCAGAAGTCGGCTGCGGTCATGTTTCATTTAGGTACCATTCAGCTGCTGTGTCTTTTTCAGTTTTCCCCATTTCTGAGATAACTCAGCTTCAGAACATACAAAAATGTGTTTGCACATCCAGCAGCCACAACCTGGAAGCCCTGAGTTTCATGTGACTCCTATCTTTGGAGTGCTTTCTCAGAAAAGAACTTCCCCCTGTGTTTTTATGTGTGAGAGGAAATTGTTTCATTGGACATGGAAACTAGAAAGTCAAAGTGCAAAATACATGCATCGCAGGTAAATGAGGTCAGGTCAGCATATCGCGACTCTGTCAGTGCACATCCTTAGCCTAGGAAGTCATTTCACATGACAGGATGTGTGTGTTCTGTTAACTCAGATGGACAGGTGTGCCAGGAACAGACCCTGGGTGGTGAAGGATTCCCCTCTGGGCCGGAGGTGTGTCTCCCACACGGCAGGGCTGCTGTTTCTCAGAGGTGTCCTGTCCTTGTCACAGCATTTGGACTGGCTTTCTCAACCCCAGCCCCCCGGGCCTCTGGGACCTGGTGGTACTCAGCGGCAGGGCAGGGGGGTGGGAGGGAGGCGTCCTGTGCACTGTGGGAAGGTGGGCAGCCCCTGACCTCCACCCAACAGCACCAGGAGTGTTCCCTATGTTATGACACCTAAACATGTCTGCAGGCATTGCCAGAGTCCCAGGTGAGGGTGGGTGGAATGAGGGGGAGTCCTCCCCTGACCAAGCTGAAAACCACTGCCTCAGGGACAGGTTTCATCATGAATTCAAGTGCAAGGGCTCAGGTGTCCACAATGTCCCACTTCAGATAGGTGTTTACCGGATGTTACGGCAGCTAGTACACCCAGTCCTCTGTGTCATTGCTCATCTGCAGCCCCCAGGGAGTTCCCTACCCTTCCACAGCCCCCACATACAGCCTCTCCTCCCTCCCCTCCTGGCCCCTGTACTGCCTCCATGTGCAGCCTCTGCCTGCACCTGCTGACCACCTCCCCACATGCAGCCTGTCAACCTGCCAGCCCTATGCATGGCCCCACGTGCAGCCCAGCCCACACCACTTTGGCTGGAGCCCTATGCCATAGGAGCTGAAGGCTGTCCCCCTGCCTCTCCCCAGGATGGCACAGTGTTTGACGGCCGCCCCATAGAGTCCCTGTCCCTGATTGACGCAGTGATGCCTGACGTCGTGCAGATGCGGCAGCAGGCCCTCCAGGAGAAGCTGGCTCAGCAGCAAGTTTCGGCAGCGGCAGCCACAACCACAGCCACAGCCACAGTGGCAGCCATGGCAACCCCAGCAGCTGTTTCCCAGCAAAACCCACCAAAGGACAGAGAAGCCTCGGTGAATGGGGAAGAGAATGGGGCGCATGCAATCAGTAAGTACGGGGCTCCAGGAGCTTCAGGCATCTGGTTTCTCTGTCCTAGGCTCCCTGAGGGTCTGCCTGCCATGTGCTTCACACGAGGTGCTTCTAGTACTTTGTTACTATTAGCCAGAAAGGCACCATGCACTATCACTGGAATTCCCATGCACCATATTCCTGAATCATGCATCCTCTTTTAGGAAATAGTGCTACTCTGAGAACTCATTTCATATGTAAGGAGAAGCACCTGGTTACCATGACCCCAAAAGGGTTTTGTTCATCGAGCCCCGACTCTGTCACTGGCCTTCCATTTGTTCGGCCACGATGTCAGGGTCATGGAGAGGCACCAGGTTCCTGAGAGCAAGTGCTGTCATATTTGGTTTATGCAAAACCCCAGGAGGTGAATTCATTGAGGTGGTTGTCCCAAAGTGCTTGGCAAGTAAGTCAGGGAGTCTGAATTTTTATCCAGGGCCCTGACTGCACTTTGACATGTTGCGTATAAATTCAGAGGCTCTACTTTGGGCCTCAGTTCACAGCATGTGTGTGTGTGTGTGCACCCGTATATATGTATCTTGGGTGAGGCTGCCACGTGCAGTCAAGCCCTGCAGCAGGTTATCCCCCACAGGCCTGGGCACATGCCTTCAGGTCTCTCCCTGGCTAGAGAGGCAGGTCCAGCATGGAGTGGGAAGCCCACGTAGGCTCTGATGCAGACTGTATTACAGTATGATGACATAGGCCAGCATGCTGGTGTAAAATGAGAAGACCTCCCACGGGCAGGCTCCATCCTCGCTATTACGATGATGGGCAGCCAAAGAAGGAAATATGTGACTTGTACCACGAATCGTTTGGGCTGTCCACTCACATGGGCTTTAACTCTCAACCTTTTGCAAAGAAAGAAAATAGGAGCAAAATAAGCATTGTTTTCTTAGTCTTCCATCATAGAAAGTAATCTGTTATTGCTGACCTTCAAGAAATCCATATGTCTGCCAAGCTTTTAAATTGTGCCAGTTTATTTTAAATCTTAAACTCTAATAGAGCATGGCCATGGACACAGTGTCAGCTCAAAGACCGATAGCCTTCATGTCATGATTACCCCGGGGGTTAATTCTCACAATCAGGAGTATGTTGGAGGGCTTGCACCATCTCCTCCCTGGCTCACAGTCTTGTGGACTCAATTTTTTGTGTCCTGCAGCCTGTGCTGCCTACAGCTGGTTTCCTTCTTGCTGCTAGGTAGGCTGAGGCCAGACCTGGTTGGTGTCTGAACTTCTATTTTGTTCTGACCTTTAAGAATCTTCTCTTCTGCCTCTTGGGAGAAAAACAGCCACTTTCCAGGACAGTTCTCTTGAGGGTGGCATTCAACCTGGCTTTTCTTGCGGGAACCCAGAGTCGGGACCCCACAGTTTATCCAGGCCGGGCTTATTCACTTAGCAAGCCAGTAGAGAAAAGTCCATTGCAAAGGTGGCTTCAACAAGAGACTGGCATTTGAGTTCCAGGAATGGGAAGGTTTGAAAGGCAGCGGGTACAGCGTGGGGGTTTCTGAGGGATTGAGCACCTCACTGGTGGGGACCTCACAGATAAAGTGTGTCGCCTTGGGAAGGTGCTCCTCATAAAAGGACTTGTCCCATCCAGAGAACACGAATCTTCAGGGTTTGCTCAGGCATCCGTGGGCACTTGGCATCTCTTCAGTTTTGTTCTGGTGATTGTTAGACATTAGCCTGGCTTTAGGTATAAAGAATAAATAGGAGTAATGCTTTTTGAGGGAGCCAAGATGGCAGTGTGAGTAGTTCAGCAGAAATCTCCTCCTAAAACATATATTTTTGAAAATACACCAAATTTAACTATTCCTAGAAGAGACACCAGTGGATACAGTACAGCAACCAGGCTACATCTACATCTGTGAGAACTCAGCATCACACAAAGGGGCTAAAATACAAGCTGCGGCCAGTCAGGATTCGAATGCTCGCCCACCCCAGAACCCAGCGGGAAGAAAGGAGTTGGAACGGGGAGGGAATGAAAGCCCAGGACTGCTGAACAACCAGCTCTAGAAATTCTCACCCGGAGCACAGACACATGGTGCATGGGGTGCTGGATATTAGAGAAATGGAAAAGCAAAACCTGTGGGCAGGTCCCCGCAACCAGTCCCTGAGACAAAGGAAAAGCGAGTGCTTTCTGTAAGTCTTAAAGAGTCAGGGACCCCACAGTTGGATGAAGTCTTCCTGGCACACTTGGCCAGCAGCTGGGAATCCTGGGGAACTTTAGGTGCCCTAACCCCCTGGGTGGCAGTGCAGCTCTGAAGCCCCTCATGGTGATAAGCAGCCTGTCAGTCATTCCCCCGACCAGTGCGGACACCAACACACTGGGCCAGTAGTGGGAGAGTGGCAGTGCACACCAGGAGCAGTGGTGCCAGAGGGGCCAAGCAGCGGCCTGTGCAAGTGGTGGTGGTGGCACCAGAGGGGTATAGGAGTGGCCTGCATGCACCTGCAGCAGTGCCAGAGGGGCCCAAGTGTGGTCTGTGAGTGCCAGGGGCAGCGGCACTATAGGGTCCTGAGAGCAGCCTGAGGAAGCCAGCCATGGTGGCAGAGGAGCAGCCAGGAACAGCTGCACCCCCAGCAGCTGCCCAGAATCTCAGCCCAGCACCCACCCGGGCCAGACCCAAAGGCTGCTGCCAGCACACAGCTGCCCAGTAGGGGTGCCACTTTCTCAGGAGAGCGCACCTGGCATGCCTGCCGCTCCCTGCAGGGCTCTGCAGGACTCTGAGGGAGACCCTACCCACAACAGTTTAGGGGATTAACTCAGAATCTGCTCCAGGAGTGTGGGTAACTGACACAGGCTGTGGAGAAGGGCAAGGCAATCCTGAGAAGGAAGAATAAAGTGGGGGGGATCTTGTTCCCCAACTTCAACCTCTACTACAAAGCCATAGTAATCAAGACAGTTTGGTACTGGCACAAGACCAGAGCCACAGACCAGTGGAACAGAATAGAGACTCCAGACATTAACCCAAACATATATGGTCAATTAATACACAATAAAGGAGCCATGGACATACAATGGGGAAATGACAGTTTCTTCAACAGTGGTGCTGGCAAAACTGGGCAGCTACATGTGACAGAATGAAACTGGATCACTGTCTAACCCCATACACAAAAGTAAATTCAAAATGGATCAACGACCTGAATGTAAGTCATGAAACCAAAAAACTTTCAAGAAAAACATAGGCAAACATCTCTTGGACATAAACATGAGCAACTTCTTCGTGAACATATCTCCCTGGACAAGGGAAACAAAAGCAAAAATGAACAAGTGGGACTTTATCAAGCTGAAAAGCTTCTGTACAGTGAAGGACACCATCAAAAGAACAAAAAGGTATCCTACAATATGGGAGAATATATTCATAAATGACAAATCCAATAAAGGGCTGACATTCAAAATAAATAAAGTACTCATGCACCTGAACAAACAAAAAGCAAATAATCCAATTAAAAAATGGACAGAGGAGCTGAATAGACAGTCTCTAAAGAAGAAATTCAGATGGCCAACAGACACATGAAAATGTGTTGCACATTGCTAATCATCAGAGAAATGAAAATTAAAACCACAATGAGATATCACCCCACACCAGTAAGGATCACCACCATGCAAAAGACAAACAACAACAAATGTTGGCAGGGAGAACATGGAGAAAGGGGAACCCTCCTGCACTGCTGGTGGAAATGTAAATTAGTTCAACCATTGTGGAAAGCAGTATGGAGGTTCCTCAAAGTGCTCAAAATGGAAATACCATTTGACCCAGGAATTCCACTTATAGGAATTTACTGTAAGAATACAGCAGCCCAGGTTCAAAAAGACAGATGCACCCCTATGTTTATTGCAGCACTATTTACAATAGCCAAGAAATGAAAGCAACCTAAGTGTACATCAGTAGATGAGTGGATAAAGAAGGTGTGGTACATATACACAATGGAATATTTTTATTCAGCCATAAGAAGAAAACAAATCCTACCATTTGCAACAACATGGATGGAGCTAGAGGGTATTATGCTCAGTGAAATAAGCCAGGCGGAGAAAGACAAGTATGAAATGATTTCACTCATATGTGGAGCATAAGAACAAAGAAAAATTGAGGGAACAAAATGGCAGCAGAATCACAGAACCAAAGAATGGAACCAAAGGGAAAGGTACTGGTGAAGGGTGGGAAGGGAGGGATAAGGGTGGGGGAAAGAAAGGGGGCATTACAGTTAGCATGTATAATGTGGGGTACGGGGGGCAAGGGGAGGGCTGTGCAACACAGAGAAGACAAGTAGTGATTCTTCAACATCTTACTGCACTGATGGACGGTGATTGTAATGGAGTTTGAGGGGGAGACTTGGTGAAGGGGGGAGCCTGGTAAACATAATGTTCCTCATGTAATTATGGATTTATGATACCAAAAAAAAAAGAATGATTACCTGTTTTTATTCCTCTATCAGTTTTATCTTATTTTATTCCTCTTTTTATTCAGAGACTGTCAAATAAAGAAGTGTAAGATATTTACTAAATTATAACTAAGCCATGACATAGCTATAAATCACCAGAGATGATACCATGTAGTACATTATAAGACACTTCACACACAACAGTGCCCCGAGAATGAATTTATTTGGTGCTGGTCAACCATTTGTCTTTTCCTGTTGCCTGTGACAGATAATCATTTGAAACCAATGGAAATAGACAGAGATGTTGAGATTCCACCCAGCAAAGCCACAGTCCTTCGGGGCCACGAGTCTGAGGTGTTCATTTGTGCCTGGAACCCTGTCAGTGATCTCCTGGCATCCGGGTAAGGATTTGAGACCTGGGGCACTCCCAGGTCTGGGGGACCAGAGGTGATTGCTCTTCTTGGGCATTCTGTGTCCTTGGCCATCCTCCCCCCTCCTACCTGGTTTGTGCCATCTTCTCCATGCACGCAGGCCCAGGCTTGGGGCACTCGGTCTGCACTCCTCCAGATACCGTAGATTGTGGGGAGGCCTACATTCCAAGCCCTGTTCTCAGTGGGGTGGGGAATGATGCAAGCACATTTAAAATCATTGAGTGCAGAACAGCCAGTGAGGGCCAGAGATGCCTGGCTGGCCTGACAGCAGGTGGCAATGGGCTTTGGTGGCCTTGCCTGAAAGCTGAATGCTTGACTGTTTTCATCCTGCAGATCTGGAGATTCAACTGCAAGGATATGGACCCTTACTGAAAACAGCAACGGGGGGTCCACGCAGCTTGTGTTGAGGCACTGTATACGAGAAGGAGGCCACGACGTCCCAAGTAACAAAGACGTGACCTCACTGGACTGGAACGTAAGAGCCGTGCGCACACCAGGCCCCACTCGTCAGCTTGCCTCGGGGTGGCTGGTGCTATGGGTGCTGTCTGTTTCTGAGGGCTCCTGAGGACGTGAAGCCAGGCAGGTGGCGAGCTGGGCATTCAGTAGCCATTCCCTTTCCATCGTTAACCTATGTTTGCCAGCTGGTTTTATTAGGGAAGCCTCACCCCAGGAAGCAGAACCAAGGGGACCCAAGATAGTCGTGCTGGGGAGAGGTAATACAGAGGCATGGAAGGCTGGCTCTCCACCTGGGCATTTCAGCAGAGGGTGTTGTGTGCATTTGTGTGAGGGATGCACACACCTCTTCATTCTTATACAGTATTTCTCCACATTCTGGCACCTCGCCACCAACGCTCCACTTCTCTATATACAAATACATTTTTAAAGCTTACCTCAAGTCTCCAGAAGCCTCAGAACTTCCAATGCGGTGTTTGTACTCGTGTCATCACAGGTGAATGGTGATGGTGTCCTTTCCTGCTCCCTCATCCTTGGGGCTAACGGCTTTCATTTTAATTTAAGAGCAGCAGACGCGCGAGTACTCAAATGCAGTCCATGAGGCACTGAACTGGGAACCACTTACTGGTGGGGGCACATACTAGCTGTGCCATAAGGGGAGAGGCCCTCGGCCTTTTCAGAGCTGCCCATCAGCAGTTCTTGTTGTCCTGTTTCTTCCAGAGTGATGGGACACTGTTGGCCACAGGCTCGTATGATGGTTTTGCAAGAATATGGACGGAAGATGGTAAGTCCTGCCTTGCTCTCGCTGGGGTCTGGGGAGGGCGCTTTGGCATGCTGTCATGGAGAGGATGGGCTGTGACTGATGCTAGCATGTTTGTTTGTTTTTTCTGTGTGGCAGGTAACCTTGCTAGCACCTTAGGCCAACATAAAGGCCCCATCTTCGCCTTGAAATGGAACAAAAAGGGGAATTACATTCTGAGTGCGGGTGTGGACAAAGTGAGTATCACTTCAAATACAGCCCTTTGATCTCTAGATGCTTATTTATTTTGGATCTCTGTGTAACCGTGTGCTTTCTTTCAGTTCTAAGGAGCTCTGCTTCCTGTGAACATATCAAAAGAACTTGTTTGGGCCTTGTTTGTTTTTGAAATCTTCTGCTGCCTTTAAAACACATCCTCTCTTCACCTGTTCTGCATCCTCCAGAACTTCACACAGAGCTCCCCCTCCTTTTCTGGACATATATTGTCAGTGATAAGAGGAAATCCCCAAATTGCATTTATCCAGTGCTTGAAGAAGCAAACAGATGTGGGGTGAACTCTTTGTAAACTTTGACCTGCTGAGTGATTTCAGTAGCACCAATTGTTTTGTGGACCAGGCTTCTGTTTTCCTCATTTGATGCATTGCTACTTCCCACTGTAGATGGCAGATCTCTCTGAGAACAGGAGTCAAGCACACACGCGCGTGCGCACACACACACACACACACACACACACACACACACACACACACACACACACACACACACACACACACACGCCTCCTCTGACAGCCTGCAGAGCAGACAGAGAATTTACTTTGTGCCTCGGAGGGGCTGCCAGGTGGATGTGATAATGTTACATCCGAGTGATTGTGAACTCCCATGTGCGAGGAAAAGCATTCAGGAGTGTAGACGTCACTCAAGCGTCATTCCTACCAGGAGTGTGATTAGTCCAGTGCATCTCACTCTCGCTCGGTTTCTGTTTCCCCAGCTGTCAGGACATGGGAGTTGTATACATTGAATGAAAATGGTTGTGTCATTCATAAGACTCAGTGAGAATTCAGAGTCATTGCTTTGGGAAAGAAGTATTATCAAGAAGTGCAGGAGGGGAAGAAAAGCATGTACTTCAGTTTGTGCCACTACAAAATGTGCCTGAATACTCTACTTTTGTCTGATCTCCAGATGCCTGTATGTCTATAATAGCTTCGGGGTAATTTGAAAATCTGGTAAAGCTACTGCTTTCTGTTCACTCACATTCTAAAAACTAATATAGAATAATAGACATGACCTGTAAACATTGCCCCCTCAGAGAAAGTCATGGTTGTAGTTGGCAAATATTGGCTCACAGGTCCAATGTCGCCCACCACTTGTGTTTGTAAATAAAGTTTTATTGGCACACAACCACACCCATTTGTTTAGAATGGCCTATGGCTGCTTTCCCACCACAACAGAGTTGACCAGTTGCAGCAGAGACCCTATGGCCCTCAAAGCCTAAAATGTTTACTATCTGGCCCTTAAGTTTGCTGAGCTCTGCACTGAAGTAGAACCTTGTATGTCAATGAATCATTCGTTCTTTATCTACCTCTCTGTTAAGCCCATAAACCCTTCATTCAAACTTGGCAGCCTAATATCTAATATAAAAACAGCTGGGCTACTGTGGTCAACACATTAAATATTCTCATGGAACTACCATCAGATTTCCCCCAAGCTGCTCTAATTCAAATATGATACACGCACAGCACGTTGTCGTGGACGTGGCTGGTCATCAGTACTGCTCATTGGATTGTTAACATAATGTGTGAAGTGATTGCCAACCTTTAGTGAGCTGTTTACTACCTGAGTTGGCCCATTCCATGCTCCCAAGTTGGGAGGCAGGCCCTGGCACCTCCTCCTTCTCACACAGGAGGAAATGGAGCCCTGAGGAGCTTCGCTACTCTGAGTGGGGACCCACTTATATGGAGTGCAGGTGGGGGCGGAACCAGACCCTGGGTGGCCGGAAGCTACTGCCCTTTGACTCTCACATACTTCTGAAGAGTTCTGTGCTCCCTCACCTTCCTGCTCCAGGCAATCTGTTACATTCATTCCTGATTTTCTACCTTTGATGAGCTATCTGGTCAGGGGAAGTGCTTATTTGGAATTCTGTTACTTTATGGGTCAGTTAGTCACTAACAATGGCAGGAGTAATAATATTCTGAGAACTAATGCCCAGAGAGGAAATGTCGTTTGTGAGGAGGCTTGCATTGACTTGCCCTGTGTTTAACCCAGAGTGGCTAATGTGTATTTCAGATGCTCCCAAAGCAGACATGATGTTTCCCCCTTACTCATACACCACTAAGGTGGTGCCTGATCCCGGTGTAGCCCAGCTACTGTGCTATATCTGGTCTCCCCAGTTCACAGAAGGAAATTTCAGAAATGCCAGTGTCTGCTGCTCTTCATTTGGAAACATGCAAGAAAGCTGGATAGATATGCTTCCCTTCAGGGTTTTCACTGGATCTCTGTGGGTGAGGGGGGCCCCTAACAGGTTTGGTAATGTTCCAGGTAACAGTTACAGCTGGAGGAGCTAAGCCTGAGGCACACCTGTGGCTGTTGGGTGCATAAAAAGTGGCCATCCAGATTGTGAAGGTCCGTAAATCACATGCTAGATTCCAAAAACCTTCCCGAGAGAGAGAGAATGCTCATCAATATTTTTACATTGATTCTATGTTGGAACAATAACATTTTGGCCATATTGGAGTGAAAATAAATCACTTAAATTCCTTTTACCAGTTTCTTTCTTTTAATGGGGTTACTAGAAAATTAGAAATGACCTGTGTGGCTCCCATTCCGTCTCCTCTGGACGGTGCTCGTGTAGAAGGAAGAGTCTAGCGGTCTTTCCTTGTCCAACAAATTTCTCTAGAGAAAACTTTGCAAGAAGAATTGTTCCTGACTTTTTCTTTTTGTTCGTGGAGCACAGACAACAATAATCTGGGACGCCCACACAGGGGAAGCCAAACAGCAGTTTCCCTTTCATTCTGGTGAGTATTTTTATTTTTATTGGTGTTGATTGACTGATTGATTTGGTAATTCAAAAATGATTGAGTCCTAAGAAATATTAGGGCAGAAGGGAAGGGGCCATCTGATCATTAGCATATCCCGAGGGCATTGAGCTGGCTTCTCTCAATTCAGTGCTGACTCTCCTTTAAGAAACACACAAGACACGCTTGTGCCAGTTGATGAGAATGTTGTCACCCAGAAGCTTATTGGAACCCAAGCCTCTAATTCTCCTAGAAGCAAGGAGGCGTCAGGAGAGATGCCAAGCAGTAGAGTGGGAGGTCAGGAGAAAGGGGATCACACCATGAGGTTAGGGGGCCATCCCCATCCAAGACCCTCAACAGAGTTCTTGGGGCCACTTGGACCTCAGGAAGACCCAGGAGTCAGTGAGAATGTTCATCACAGTCCTGAGCCGTCAGCCCAGTTGTGTCCCCAGAGGGGTCTTGTCAGCCATGAGTATCCAGCCCTAGGGTGGGATGCATTAATGTGTTTGCAGATTTTTTAAATCGGGATATCTTGAATGTAGGATATAAGATCTTCCTGTTCTCATTTTCTCTCTCTGTCTAAAGCAAGTGAGGCTGGCTGTCCACAGGGATATGCCTGGGACAAACAGAGTGCAGGAGCAGGCATCTCATGCTTCTCACCCACCTGTGCTCACCTGGGCCAGGGGAGCAGGAGACTGCATGCAAATGGAAAGCATCCCAGGGTCTCTGCAGAGCATCTGCTCATCCCTCCAAATGTGGAAGGAGAAGTCCTTAATGTCTGTGAGGGAGATAGGCTTGTGTTCACACTGGGACACTTTTTATCACGTCACTAAATAAGGCTTCTTGACTATGCTGTTCATGGTCAAAGTCAGCCAAGTTATGTGCATACCTAGTCGATGCCAATGTCCTCACTCTGCTCCGCATTCCACAGCCCCTGCTCTCGATGTAGACTGGCAGAACAACACCACCTTTGCCTCCTGTAGCACAGACATGTGTATCCATGTCTGCAGACTCGGCTGTGACCGCCCGGTCAAAACCTTCCAAGGACACACGGTAAATTGGAGTTCCGAGTATGCCCCTTTGGCGCTGGGCTCCTGTAGCTCTCTTGGGTTGGATTAACCCCATTACGGGCCTGCAGTGGAGAAAAAACTGACTGTGAGATGAGCCAGATGTCAGATTCTGCAGGGAAGACTATACAGTACCTATTGTAAAAGGTACAAGAACGTAAAGGAAAGGATGCTCGTAATGGGTGAATAGATGGGGAATGTCAGCAGAGAAAGAAAAACTCTTCTTAAAACAGTCCAGTGGAAATCTGAGAACTGAGGGGTTTAATGTCTGAAATGAAAATCTTCCTGGACAGGTTTAACAACAGGGAGATTGCAGAATTAAGGTTACTGAACCTAAAGAGAGCTTAGCCAGTTTTGATAACAGATTGAACAAATGACTAGAGGCCTGTTAGATAGTGGCCAAATGAATAACCTGTGGCACAGTATGAAGCACTCTAGCATATATGTGTAATGGGGAGAGAGTGAAAAAAATGGAACAGAAACATTACTTGAAGCAATAATAGCCAAATGTTCCTAAATTTGGTTAAAAATGTTGACATTTAATCCAAGAAACTAAGGTGCCAGTTGACCTCTCTGAATTCATGGCACATGAGGCTCTTCAGAGCCTTCCCAGAGCTGATCCCTGTAACGTCCCAACACCCTCAAACTTCAGCCTCCTGGAAGGCCTGCTGGGTTTGAGAACCTCATACCTGCAATGCACCCCACCTTTAACCCCTGCCTTGCCACTTATGTAACCATATAAATGCCATTGTCCTGGGTACTTGTTCATGTCCTTAACTCGCCTTCTTCAGCCTCTGTCCCCATAGGTCCCTGCTTGTGAAAGAAGGTGCTTTTAGGGCTCAGGCATCAGTCTCCTTGTGGCTATCAACTGGCCCTTCTTTTTAGTTTTCTGGTCTGAACTCTTCTGTCCTCCAACCCTAGACTATCCCCAATATTTCATGGGAAATCCTTACAACTTGCAGCTGTCCAACTTCTGCTTGGGACTTTACTGCCACCACACCACTTGGCTCTCTAAATCCATCTCACTGCAGCTTCCGTCATTTAGCACGAGACGTGAGCTAAGTGTAGGAGAGCCGGTGTCTTCCCAAGATCCTGTGAGCCATTTCTGGATGCCATCTGGGAATTGTGGCTGGGGTTTCATGGGGAGGGGGAGAGAACTCCATGCCCAGGGCGGAGTTTGTTCCCCGCTGGAGGATGGAAGGTGGGCTCGGCTGGAGACAGCCAGTTTCCTGGGCTCTAGGAGACCTGCATGTGGGTTCGCACCCAAGCTGCCTTCGTCCTGGCTGAGCCCGTCTCTGGGTCGGCACCTCATCAGGTCCCAGGTTCTCACCATGTCCTCCGGGTTTCTGCCTCTTCACGTGCGCATGCATGCACACACACAGACCCACACCCATCTCCAGGCTGACCTCTTCGTCCTCCCACGCTCACCTGGGGGTGCTGCTCTGTGGTCTTTAAGCTCGCTCCCTCTTTTCTAGGCCATCCAACCATTGATACCACATGGAACACAGATGGGTAGCCTAGTCACTTCACACCCTTCAAACTCTCAAGTGTCCTTAGCAAGAAGCATGACCATAAAATTGCTCATCCACACCAGAGCATTTAGGAGCATAGAGTTAATTGGGAAATTACAAGTGTGCAGTTAGTTCATGGTTAGGCTAGCACAGCAGCCATGAGTCCTATGCAGATGGTGCTCTTCAGTCACCATACTTAGAAATTTCCGAGAACCACTTCCTTGCTCCCACATTTCCCCACTGCTCACAATGCACAGAATGACGTCCCCCACCTCCACATTTTGCATCTGGTGGTGCCTGTCCCTTGGGGTGCATTTGCCTTCATCCGACAAGACTGAGCCTCAGGGTTACCTGGCGCTGAACTGGAAGGCTGCCTGCAGCTTCATTTCTTCCCCCGCCCGTTTGCACATACCTGCCAGAACTTTCCCCTTGCACTCTATTGCAACATTTTGTTTACCTGCTCTTTGCTCTGAATTTCAAGCCCCCTCCCCCTGGAAGGTTTTGTTTCTCCCCTGCATGTTTACCTGTAATTTCCCTTGGCCATCTGTGTTCATGCTTTATTTATTTACATCTCCCCTCCAACCCCACTCAGCACCAAGAGAAAGGTCTTGTAGGGATTTGACAGACAGAACAGCTATTGTTTTAAAAGGGCATGAGAAAATTGTTTTCAGAGTCTATTTTTAAATAACTGTGATCTTGTTGGGTTTTTTTATATTTAATTTTTTTTATTATCATTAATCTCCAGTTACATGGAGAACTTTATGTTTACTAGGCTCTCCCCTTCACCAAGTTCCCCCCACAAACCCCTTTACAGTCACTGTCCATCAGCGTAGTAAGATGTAGAATCACTAGTCTTCTCTGTGTTGCACAGCCCTCCCATTTCTTATATGTAATTCATTTGTCTTCCTTTCTAGTTGTGATTTTTTTTTCCTTAGAGGAATATAGATGAGGGTGTCTGGTTACATGTGCTATATGGCTGTGCCTTTAGATAAATGAGAAAGGCTGGGCAAATAAAAGAGGAAAATAGATGGATTCTATTGAGATCTGGGGAAAATGCAAACAGGCTCTTTGCAGAGATGACGGCACTGGCCTGCCCCCTGCTGGAAGGTTGTGTAGTCTGCTCACAGACCTTTATTTTTTAAAACCCTTTCAGAATGAAGTCAATGCCATCAAGTGGGATCCCTCTGGAATGCTGCTAGCATCCTGCTCCGATGACATGACATTAAAGGTAAAGGAGTCCGAAAGGATGGGCTCTGATCCTGGGCGACCCCAAATAAGCAGTGCAGGTCGTTGCTCCTCAGTGATGATACTGTCATGTGGGCATTTCCTGCCTCTGACTGCTCCCCACTGCTAACCACATGCCACTGTCATCCGCTTAACTCCTCCTTATCAGTCAAGGATCCTGCTGACAATCCTTCCCTCCCCCGAGGCCTTTCTCACGGCCTCTGCCTGGCTGCTCCCTGGCCAATGATATGCTGGTGTGTGACCTGCACCCCACGGGGTGGTGAGCCTCCCAGGGTCGGAAGCCTGATGATCCCTCACAGAGTAAATGATGTTCCACCATCCTGGTTGGAGAAACCGTGTTTGCTGACACTGTTCTCAATGCATCATCTAGATCTGGAGTATGAAGCAAGATATGTGTGTCCATGACCTTCAGGCTCACAGCAAAGAGATATACACCATCAAGTGGAGTCCCACCGGGCCAGCCACCAGCAACCCCAATTGCAACATTATGCTAGCGAGGTAAGGGAAGATGGCCCCAGCCCAGTGTCGGTCCCTAAAGCCAGCCTTGCTTGGAGTTAAGGGGTGCAAAAATTCTCTATCATAACAAGTTGGTCATGGGGACGGTAGTACAGCATGGAGCATATAGCCAGTGATTCTGTAACATCTTCCTATGTTGATAGATAGTAACCACAGTGGTGGGGATGAGGATTTAATTGTATGGGTAACTGTTAAACCACTGAGTCATATATACTTGAAGCCAATATAAGATTGTATATCAGCTATACTTCACTTAAAAAATTTTATGAAACCAGCCTTACCCACTGTGGCTGAGCCAGCCCCATGGCCAGTAAGAGCTATTCATGTCTGGAGAGATGGGACATTGTTGCAAGTCTGTTTATGGCCTTCCACCTGAATGAAGTGGTCAGCTGGGCCCAGAAGATAGCTTACTGGTGATGCCTAACTTGAAGTAAGGATAGCATTAGCCACAAAGCTGGCTGGTTACAGGAATGATTATATTATGTGCCCCAGGCTTTTCAGCACTTGGTCTGGGGTGAAGATTCTGCCACACAGAGAGAGGAGAGAGTTCAGCTTGGGCCTGGGCTTGCGGACTTCCTTCAACTCAGAGCTGCAGCTGGTGAGATTCTGAGCAGTGATAAAGGATTCCCTGGCCCTAGCCAGATTTGACCTAACAATTATAAAGTGAACCCCTGGACACCAGCATTGGGGGGATTGCAGTGGCGAACCAGCCAAATGCCAGAATTGGGACTAGAGGTTCTTTCTAGCTGACACAAAGGTGGCCTCCCCAAACCATACCACTCATGGCTCCTCCTGACACTCATGGGCCCCATTCAAGAATGTAGCATTGCACTCCGGGTACTGCGTTAAATGCAAGTGTTTAGAAGAATGAGCTGCTGAGACCACATGCAAGGGGACTTAGGGGTCTGGAAACTGCTCCAAAGCAATGTGACTGTTTAGGCTGGAAAAGACAAGGTTCGGGAGGGACAGTCTGTTTCCATGAAGCAGCAGTTGGGTACTCCTGTGCTGTCGCAAAGAAATGGGACTGTGGAGAGACAGTGGATGGCAAGTCCCCCTGCACCTAAGGAAGAACCCGAGCCTGTTTGGCTGTATGGCAGTGAGGCGGGCAGCCTCGCCAGCAGAGCACACTCTGCTTTGTGAATGTGCTTTATCTGAGGTCACGTCTTAGCAAACAGCAGAAGGAATTCATGTTTCAACCTACAGGCTGAACAGGAGAAGGTGTAGGCGGTAATTCTCTTACTTCAAGGGATTGTCCCCAAATCCATCTGAATGACTATGATACGGAACACACTGCCTTATTTTTTTCATGACTCAGAAGGTTCTTTGATGCCCCATGTTGCCTTTATGAGCATAAACTATCCTTTTGGTCAACAGGTATGAAAGAGACATAGCAGGGCGTCCCTGGTCAGAGAAAGGACGCAGGTGACAGCTTTGTGGCAGGTGTTCTTCTGCATTTGAAAATGGCCCTGATTTGCAGCTCTCCACAGGGTGACTGCATATTTGGATGCATTATATTTTAATTCCCATTTGGTTAAAATTTTTACTCATTTAATGGACTATTTTTCCAAATACAGCTACCAGCATTATTTTAGTTGGTAATGATGTTGAGTTTTAAATGGTGGGAGCATCTTAGAAAACATAGTCAGTTTCCTATAAAGGTATATTCTCCATTCTAGTCCATTCTACAAAGGAAACAAATGAACATGGGTATCAATTTGCATCCCTAATAACAGCACCAAAAGAGAGAGAGAGAGAAAGAAAGAAAAGGTTTATTGCATAACCATGGCTCTGTGTTTAGTACATACCAGTCATATTTGAGAAGAGGAAAAGCACACCCACGTCTCTGGAAACTGAGAAGCTGGGAAGTAAAAATAACTCATGATACCTGTTACACATCTTAGGAAAATAGAGACCAACATGTTTCTATGCTGACGTTTTCTCTCCCATCTTTCCAGTGCTTCATTTGACTCTACGGTTCGGCTGTGGGATGTGGAGCGAGGTGTTTGCACCCACACACTAACCAAGCATCAGGAACCTGTCTATAGTGTAGCTTTTAGCCCTGACGGGAAATACTTGGCCAGTGGCTCCTTTGACAGTGCGTGCACATCTGGAACACTCAGGTAATCCCCCAGTTGCTGCAGCCAGATTCCTTCTGGAACCAATGCCCAGAGAGTCTTGTGTTCAGGGAGCTAGCACAGAACAGCACATGGGGGAGGAATCAGTTGCCTCCGTCGGAGCCTCAAGTGAAGCCGGCTGCCCCAGGTGGACTCCAGGCTCCATGCCGCCTGCCGTGTGCTCCATGTGGGTGCTGGATCTTCCCAGAAAGGATGCCTGCTAATTTCTGTCACATTTCTCAGTTCCTGGTATTAATCCTCCACTTGCCCCCATCCTTTCCTTGGCTACAGTCATCTCGGGATGTGTCACCCACTCCTCTTAACACCAGAGAAGTGCCCTCTGGACACCAAGGTTGGGGGTGGTGGGGAAGTGTGTCCCATCTGAACTTCTCAGGGGTGCAGCCCACTGGGGTGAGGCCAGCTCTGACCCTCTGTGCCCTACACCACCTCCTATGGCTTCCCTGTGCAGCCAGCTGGTGAATCCAAAGGAGTATTTGTTTGCTGTTTTGCCGTGTAAGTGTTTGAGTGAGCTGTTCTGTGTTTGGGTAGTGAACCATATATGGAGCCACTGTGGGCATCTCTGGCCACACCTGAGGATGACCGAAGGTGAATACGGAGAGTGGGCATGAACACGAGTGAGTGTGGCAGAAAGCATTACTTTGGACAGTCTGCCTTGGTTCACCTTCTAGGGGGAGGGAGAAATGGTGGTATGGTGGAGTCCTTGGAAACAGCCAGTGATCCATGTTGATCTCCTCATGAACTCCATGACTCCTCACTCCTCTTTTAGTGCAGTCCACCTTCCTGATCGAATGCCTTGGCCTGGCTGACGTCCAGGTGGATTTGCTCTCCCAAGCACGCGCCCCCCTGTGGCAGGGGGAGGTGCGACATGCCAAGCTAAGGGGCGTGGGGCAGGGGAAGGGCCACTGAGACCTCAGGCTTCCCCAGAGACTACCTCACGTCCTCTCAGGGGAGGAAAGGCAGTGGTGCACCCTAGTCAGAACCAGCCCAGTAACCAAGGTGAGCCTGAAAGGGCCAGGTAGGAAAATGCACAGAGAACACGCATCCCAGGAATCATGTGCAGGACTCTGTTGGTGAAGCACTTACAGAAATACTTACCAGTGGATTTGTAAATGACATCATTGGTTTGGTGGCGCCTCCTGTCAAAACTTCATCGAACTGCTGTTTCACAAATCACAAAGGTCTTTGAGATGTTTTAAAGCTCACTTTGAAATGGACACCTTTACATATAAAAATATATACAACATTGTTGACCCCTCTCATTGCCCAGTTCCCATCTTGTGGGAGGGTCCCTCTTAGTCTCCCTGCCCTTGGCCAGGAGGTGACATGGCCTTAGCCAAAACGCAGAGGTGGATCCCATGGACACCCGTGCACCCCAGGCTCTCTGTCGAGGGAAGTCAGAGGCATGCTTCTGCAGCCACCTGAGCATTCAGGGGAAATTCTAACTTACCTATGTTTGAAAATTCTCGTGATGACATGTTGGGGGTCAAGGAGGGGCTGCCCGTTAAACCTCACCAGTGCTCTGAGTCCCCCTTGCATCCTAAGGGGTGATCACTTTGCTTTGCAGAGTGGGAATCTCGTTCACAGCTACCGAGGCACTGGCGGCATCTTCGAGGTGTGCTGGAGCGCCCGAGGGGACAAAGTCGGTGCCAGTGCATCTGACGGCTCTGTAAGCAGCACCTGGGCTGTGCTGGGGGGTGGAGGGCCCCACGGCAGAAAGAACGAGGGCCAGCCGGCCAATGCCTGAGCACATTTCCAGGAGGTGCTATGGGTCCTCGGCTCTGAGGGCCTGGCACCTGGCAGGCACTGTACAGATGTGCCCTGGGTAAAGGCAGTTTCCAGGCTGGATCCCAGGGGATTGGTGCCACATCTGAGGCTCTCTGGAATTGTTTGCTTTTTCTACTCTGGTCGGGGGTGTGGGCCAGGTATGCTGCTCAGCCTCATACAATGCCCAGGACAGCCCCACAGCAGAGAGGTGACTGGCCCCTGGAGGTCACTGAGCAGAGGCTCCATTCATTCCACAGGCCTCTAGGGTCCCACTGGCGCTGTTCTGATCCCATATTCTGGCTTTTTGGTTCCCTCCACTTGCGATTGCCATGAGGCCTAAGGCAGAGGGCAGTGCACCGGCTGACTGAGTGTCAGCATGGTCCCCAAATGTTCTCAGAGGCCACTGTGCTCAGGCTTCAGCTGTCATGTGCCCCACCATGTGGGTGTCTGGTCTGACACCTACTGATGGCCACTACCACCCCCAGTACTTCCTGGCATTGCCCCTGACCTGCCTTTCCCTTCCATGCTATTGGCTTGGAATTGATTGGTCAGATGCTGAGACACTAGCCGGTAGCTAGAACTCTGAACCTTCATGACTGTGTGCCAATAAAACTATTTGTAAAACATGGATGGTGGGCTAGATTTGGCCCATGGACCATATAGCTTGCCATCCTCTGCTCTGAAGGCATCTTTGTGCATATCTCAAGATAACAGGTGCTTTCTCTTTCCTTTGAGGTGTATGTGTTAGATCTGCGAAAGTAAACACAAAACGTTACAGAAGAAAGAATTCTCATGGACCAGTAGTGAAGGTGGGGGTCACAGCACTCTTCAGACACAATCCTATCAGCTCCAAAACTGTATGAACCTTACTTGCATTAGAGTGTACTTTGAAAGCAACTCATCCATGGCCACAGGAGTCTTCATTTTTTCATGATCTTCACCAAGAAGTTTAAAGCAGAAACATACACCCAGTCATGTCAAAGGGGAAAAGAATGGTTTCCACCTGAACCTTCAGACTTGGAAGCACAAGGCCACCAGCTGGATGGGGCACGGTTTGGTTTCCATCCTGAACAGGCTCTGATGCTCTGACAGGGGGGATAGAAAAGCTGAACCAAAAAAGAAAAGGGAAAATGCTGTGATAAACCAGAAGGGTGGCGGGCTGTCCTCCATGTGGTGGGTTGGTCGATTCTTTCTTTGCTGACAGTTTGGATACTACAGTTGCTCCTGTAAACGATGTTCAAAGACCAGTTTGTACCGGTGAAATGCTCAGCTTTGTGAGCCCAAAACTTTTCTATTTTCTGGAGTCTTTGGTGGTTTTTATATTGGCTGGAATCCTGTCATCTGGGGGTCTTCAATGTGAGCTGGAAGCTGTGTGTGCTCTGTCGCTTCTTTCTTGTGGTTACCAGCCCCCCTCCGCCTTTTCCCTTCATCTGCTGTGTTCTTGATTTGCAGTTCACCACGGAGACCATGAGGGGACCGTTGGCGGCCAGCTCTCTCCCCTCCCGCCAGCCCTCCAGCCCGCCTTTCCCTCCGTCTCTGTCACCCCTTGCTCACTCTGTACCTTTGTCACAGTTGTTTCAGATATTAGGTCTCAAGGGTACTTTTGGTGCAGAAAAAGTGCATTACAAGAAGGTGGGCTGGGGACTTTCTACAAGAGAAAAATATATATATAAGAGAAAGAGCCCAAAGTATTTTTGGAAAAAAAAGTATTTTTATCTTAAAACCATTTTAAAATCCTAAAATGGCCATCAGACATAGAGAGCTCTGTGTGATTCATATTTTAAAACAAAGTTAGGAAGACACAGGCAGGGTCTGAGGACTCTGCCTCCTTTAGCTTCACTAAAGGCACTTAGAACTCTGGGTGGAAAAGGTCCTTCCCGTGGGTTGCCAGCAGGATTGTTCTGCAGCCAGAGAAACATCCCTGCTCCTCTGGCTGCAGGAAGAGCATTGCATCTCTCGGTGTGTGTTCACCCAGGTAGGCGGCAGGAGAAACGAATAACAGTGCCCTCTCACCATGTGACACATTCCTGAAACCAAATGGCATCAGAGAAGCCATCAGGCCAACCCCATGGCTGGGTTGCCATGAGCGACACCCCATTCACAGCAGCCACAGGGCCAGTGGCTGTCGGCCCCCACCCCCAGTTTGGCCAGTCCTTGCCAAGCTGATGTGAAATACTCCAGGGTCATGTTTGGTATGACAATGACAGAAATGAATGGGGAAAGATTTTCAGATGAATTTCATAGGTATAATGTCACTAATAATTTCTGCCATCTTTGTAATTTCTCTCCCACAAGACACTAGAAGAAAGATGTTCTTTTTCTAAGTAATGAGTCTTTTTACTGTTTTTAAAACATTAAACCTGGCTTTGTGTTCATAGAGGACTTCCCTCTCATTGGGTCAGGCGACTTTGTACACTTGTTGTAACTTGACACTGACCTATTTTATGAATCAGGGGGGAAAGGGCTGGGAAATGAGGCCTCTTCCCATATCCGCTTTCCTGTAGGCATGGGAAGGGAGGGGAAGCTGGCCGGGCCTGGGGGGCTGCCATGCACAGGCTTCTGCTGTGTGTGTTCCAGCAACAAGATAGGACCCTCTAGAGGCTGGCATCCATCCTTGGAGCCAAAAACTGACTGGCAGGGCAGAGCAAGGGGATTGTGCTCAGCTTGGAGTGTGCCTTGTCACAGTGTGCTTATCATTGTCAGGCATTAACTGGCCTTCACTTGCACATGTGAATTTTTCAAACCCTAGCGCGAGAAGACCACAAAGAATTCTCTGTATGACTTGAGTATTGTGTTCTGGGTCTGCTACCTAAATGCCTACTGAGCTGAGGAGGTCAGAGTTCTATGATGCCACCATCGCGTCTTTGAAGTGCACACACACCTCCAGCTGTTTTGCTAACTTCCTGCCCCAGGAGCTCATTAGGTCTGGCCTGCAGTCCATAAGGGTCAGATACACACCATCCTCACCCTCTTCCTTCCCCAAGTGAAAATTATCTGTGTCCACGGAGTGTCAGTGGTCGAGGGTCGGCTGGGCTCACATGTCAGCTGGTGCTGACAAGCCCAACAGTGCTGTCACGTGACAGGTTGGGGACAGGCTATCGGGTTTGTTAGACTATCTTCATTTAGGGGGCAGTAGCTAGGCTCTTGCTCAGGTGGGAGCCTCAGCCTCTTGAAAAGTCTGAAATGCTGGGAATGGTTGGGTTGGCCCGAATGCCATGGAGCCACGCAGGAGTCTGGGGCAACAAGGGAGGGCCACCCACCTCCCTGGATTCCTCCAGTGGCCGTGGAAGAGCTCCCCGCAGGCCCCGAGCGGAACCAAACACCAGAGTGCTGACAGCGCCCCCAAGAGTCCACCCCCATTCTCAGCATCTGTCAAGCCTCCAACATCTGCTCACCAGCAGACACCCTGCTGCCAAAAAGCATGCAGAGTCAATCTGAAGCAGGGCGGGCCATGTCCTACCACTGTTGGTCATCATTTACTGCTCTTAAAACCTGTGTGTGAGTCTTTGTGACCAAATGTGACCTCAATTCAGAAGCAGCACAAGGACCCCTCCTGCACCTTCAGCTGGGTTTGGAGCAACTGAGAGCAGGGTCTGCACACCTGGGAAAGGCTGCTGGCCATGGGGGCCAGGAAGGGCTGGCCAGTCGTGACAGGCTTGCAACCCTGTGACCCTCCGCCCCTACCCCATGCCACCCAGACCTGTCTTTCTAAAACTAGATCACAGAGCTAAGTGAAGTGCACTTTGTGAAATGTAAGGGTCTGCTTTGTTCCTTGTTAATTTTCTCTTTTTTAACCTTCTGTTCCACCTTATATAGAAAGAAATTACGTTTCTTGTCAAATGCAGATATGTTCCTCCTGCCACTGAAGTTCTGAATTCTGGCTTCTGCAGTTGATATTGTCTGTGTCAGACATACAGCCAGATGTGGGTTCCTGTCAGCATCTCCCAGATTCAGTTGCCCCCATGCCCTCCATTCTGTTCTCCCCACACCCTGCACACCCTCACTGACGCTGAGAAAAATTCATCTCTGTATTCTCTCTCATTCGTTTCAAGAGAATCGAGATCATACTCAGTGTCTTGAATAAATTGCTCTATTTTGATATGAGATAATGTGCTGGGTGTGTTTTTTCATGTCTTGTGTGAACATTTCAACTATATGGACACCGGTGAATGCAAACATTGCTCTGCACTTTCTCGGGAAGCCAGTGTCTAGAGGGCGTCTTTGCAGGACAAGTTGAAGTACGGGAAGGGAACTCAGCACCCCGGCAAGGCAGGAACTGCCTCCCCAGTTACGTGAAAAGGTTACTACCTAGAGTGCGTGCTTTTTAGCATTGCCTTTTATTTCAGGCCACTGTTTTAAAAAGCCAAAGCAAATGGATTTTCTTTTGTCAGGGGTGGGAGGTGTTAAGTGGAAGGATCAGCTCAGTAATTTGAAGAATCTAAAGCCTCAGGGCATGTATGACTTCAACTTTTGCGTGGTGTAGACTGACATTCAGCAGATCTGTCTTGGCACCTGGTCTTTGCCAGGTGGTTCTGGGTGTTTCCATTTTTACCACTTTAATCACTTGGCAGGTGTCACGTAATTGAGCTAACACTGCTCTTTTCCCATCATTGGGAAAAGGACATGGATTTGGAGAGACAGGTTGCATTTTGCTATACAGATGAATTGCAAAGAAGGTCATGGTGTCATTCCCTCTAATTCCAGCATGATTCTGCACTGGAACAAAATGGGGCTGGGAGCCATCCATGCTCCCTCATGCTGGGTTTGGGGTTCTGAGCACCCCAGACCCCACTACTAGAACCATAGGAAGGTCCAGGGAAGAACCTTGTAGAGAAAGTTTCACAGGCAGGAAGCGAAGTGCATGACAGTCCTCAAGACAAGGGCATATTTGATGTGTGGCTCGGGGTTTCATCAGCAATGCCAGTAACATTAGTAGCTTTAAATGCGGTCACATAGACTACCTAAGATTTATATAAATTTCTTCATGGACAAGGAACCCCTTGCTGTTCAAATTGTTTTCCTTTGTGCATTGGGTCTCCATTCTATTTATTTTGAGAATCTAAGCTTCCACTCCCTAAACAGAACATCTTGGTGCAGTTCCTGAAGGGCATTGGAGAATGTTTGTATTCACGGAAAGCTCTGTGCACGTGTGGATGGATGCTGGATGCTGGGTCACTGGTGACAAACCTGGAAATCATTTTGTGAGTTGCATGGAAAGGCGGAGGCGGGAAGCACACAGATGCCCTTATGAAAGACTCAGGATTTGGCTGAAGGGTTTTTTCTTCCCAGTTTGACTCCTTCTTCTCAAGTGTCTCATCCACTTGAAAGTGAGGCACAAGGATGCAGCTCCATGCAGAGGACGACGGGGCATTGGGAACCATGGGGCAAGGCAGGGACAGTCACATGGTAACTGCCAGCCCACTCTGAGGTTCAGGCTCTGGAGAAGGGGGTCTGGGTAGGACTGTACTTTCCCTCAAGCAGAGTCACTGAAACCACAGGAAAATGGCTGGTGTGCTCCATCCTACCAGAAGTACTGATGACCCTAATAAAAGGCAAACTGAGGCATGCTCGAAAAGATGGATTTATACAGGAATAGCAGAACAACGGCAATGCAGGACAAGCAGCAAGTTACAGGTGGGTCCGTAGGGTGTGGCCTGACTGGATTCAGGGCAGGGACTCAGAGACATTTAAAACAAACCAAAACTAGCCTTGAGGATTTTCCCAAGCAGACAAAATCAGTCTGGTCACGCATGCACACACACCCAATTCAGTCCAGTCTGTGCGACTACTGCCATGTGGGTTGCCTCTGGTAATGCATCTGGCAAAACTTCCCCAGGTGGATATGACCCCACGTCTGACTACCAACAGCCAAGAAAATTCCAACACAATCACTGTTCTGTCAATCCAATATTTACAGGTGATCCATCTCACTCATTAAGTTTTGTGCTCCTGAGGTATGTGCATAAGATCCTTCATTTCCTATCACCCTGGCTTACTTGAGAGTGGAATTGTTCCACACTATATGTTTGAAAATGAGGAGGAATAAGGAAATGAACAGACTTAAGTTCCTCGTGATATGATTAATAAATGGGCTGGTGAGTTGAAGTCCAAGGGAAGCTACCTGATCGAAGTCTCACCTGTCCCCAAGCTGTCCTGCCTACTCCACCAGTCAGTCCAGTCAACACACCTGCCTGTCTCCCCACCTTTCCAACACAGTCCCTGCTTTCTCATCAAAAGGCCCCCCCACCGGCAGTAGCCTTACAGGGAAGTCACTTAAAGCCAAGAGCTGCCTGTCTCTCCTTCTATGATCCCTTTGCTCAGTTACTCTCTTACTTCCTAGATTGACTTGGTGCGTGTCTCTGTGGCTCATAGGGCACCCCATTGCTGAGACGTAGTTGGGTGCCTGGCCAACAGCCATGGAGAAG